GTGTGATAGACTTTGGAAGTGCTTGTGATACTCATCTACCAATAATTGAGTTTTTCTATAACAACAGTTATCACACCAGCATGAAATCCGCACTGTTTTAGGCTCTTCATGGATGAAAATATTGTTCCCCAATATGTTGGGAAGAGGTTAGAGATACGCAACTATCCAGGAAACATACAGGTGATACCTTACGTACTGGACCAAAGATCATTCATGAGACTACATAAAAGATTATGCAAATTAAGGACCGAATTAAGGTTGCACGCAATCGTCAAAAGAGATATGCTGACGTAAGACGTAAGCCTCGAGAGTATCAGGTCGGAGACAAAGTAATGTTAAAGGTCTGCCCTTGGAATTGAATGATACGGTTCAGAAAACGAGGCAAGTTAAACCCACGATATATAGGGCCTTTTGTAATTCTTGCCTGAATTGGTCCTGTTGCATATTGACTCAAGCTGCCTCAAGAGCTAAACAATGTGCACGATGTTTTTCACATGTAAAATCTTAATAAATCTCTATCTGATGACACTCTTTCCATTCTCTTGATGAGATCCAACGTAATACAAAACTCCACTTTGTCGAAGAACCAGTGGAAATCATGGATTAAGAGATCAAACAATTGAAGCAAAGTCGTATTCCCATAGTAAAGGTGCGATAGAACTCTCTACGTGGACCAAAATTTAATTGGGAATATAAGGATCAGATGAAATAGAAACACCCTCAACTTTTCAACGATACCCCGACCGCAAGCTGAATTTCACGACAAAAATATTTTAAGGGGGGGGGGGAAGAATGTGACAAACGATAAAATTATGTCAACATTCGCGGTCAAACCACCACGAATCCACTTTTTAATAGACCTAATGTAATGTATTCCACACCTTTCGTAAAATTAAACTTTTCATACTTAAATATGCATGTGAAATAACACTTTAGTCTTTGATGGATGTAGATCATTGATAAACAAACACTATTAACAATACATAATTAATAATTAATTCAGTGAAAAAGTTTGTATTAAGTATTTTTTTTATGTACAAATGACACTCTAAAAAGATAGATCATGTAAATACGATTCTATGGATATAAAGAATGTCCAAAACAGAGATCGTATGAGAAAGTTATGACCCTTTTAAGAAGCAAATCAATAATATAACAAAGTTTCCGTAAATGAAATTTAAATCGATTTGTAGGGATATATATGCATTGTTTCAAGTATTTTTGAATGTATTTTTTGAATTAGACATCCCTCTAATATTTGATTCCATTTTCGAAAGTTTCATATCACGAAGTTATAATACTTTCGCAAACATTGTTTAATCGTGTAACTGTAAATACCCGAATTAAAACTTTGAGTACGTTTTTGACATAGTTTCGTCTTTTGTTAGAAAATTTTGTTTAAATATTTGGAAACGAAATTACCGTGACATCGAACTAGTGTTTTCGGAAAAAAAAATGTGAGAAGTCATTGTTCATCAGATTTTTGCACGTGGTTAGAGGTCGCAACACGTGTCGCGATTGTGGTGGATCTGCTTGGCGCGACATAGATGCAACACTTGGGGAGTTATTATGGAAGGAAGAAAGATATAAATTTGAGAGGGGAGACCCTCTCTCCCACCGATTTCTCTCCCTATCTCTCCAAGTCTCTTTCTCTCTCGGCTCTCGCTAACTTCTGATGACCAGATTACCGACGACCACCACCTTCTCCACCGGATGCCACTACACATCGCTACCTAATGTCGTCAAAACCACCACCAAAGCTTCGGCGGCCCCTCCCTCCGATCCAACAACCTTGAAACTGCCCAAAAAAGTTGGGAAAACTTCGTCGAAATCCAGTTGTCTGGCGAACATCGGAGGTTTTCCGGTGACGCTTCCCAACTCGCTTTTGCCCGATCTACAACCCTTATAAGTCCTTACATTGAAACAAGGTGTTGTTTGTGAAGTCGCGAATCGCAACCCTGTTTCCGATCTTGACCTCGGTTTCTATGCACACTTCAAAAGTGAATTCAGGCGCCATTTTAAACTCTTTAATGTTTTCGGGAGAGAATGCGTGCATAATAATAATTCTCATTTTATATCAACGTAAAAAATATACATTAATTATTTATAAAATTTTAATATCTCTTATATAATGGTTTGATAAAACAATGAGTTGTTTTTAACTAATACATACTTGTTTTGAACCTTATGTGCATATTTATTTATATTTGATGTTTATTTAAAAATTAAATATAGTTTTCATTATAATTATAAATGATAAATGTTTAATTAAAGTAGTGTTATAAAAATCTCGACTAGGCGCTGGCCGACCCACTATAATGCTCCTAGTGATTAATCTCTGCCTAACAAATGACCGAAGCAATAGAAAACGATAAAATTTTAAAACTTTGAAGAAGTTTTCTCAATAGAAACTATTTAAGGAACGATTTGTTAATCATACTAACCTATTTTGTTATGATATTAGTGACATTTACAAACTTTCTTTCGACATCAGTCATATTTAATTTTCTAAAATTCAAAGAATTATCAATTTATGGTTCTCGATTAATCCCGCGAATAATCCCTGCCTAGCCGATTAATCGCGTAACCCTAGTTCACCGACTAGCTAACGTCGAACGTTTTTTACAACCTTGAATTATAGTTATATAATTATAACCGTTAAATAATTGTTTTATTGTCAAAAACTATATATATATATATATATATATATATATATATATATATATATATATATATATATATATATATATATATATATATATAAAGAGAGAGAGAGAGAGATACATCTATTTAGACTTGTTCATATATTTGGAAATTGTTGAAATTGTTGGAACTATATGCACAATTAAGTCTTTAGTCTAGTAACTTAAGGTTTTAGAAACATACACTCACTCACTATTAGAACTGTTAAAACTCGGAAAGTCTAGACAAGATATGAAATTCATGAAACTAAAAATAAAAACTTAGTAAAACCCTCTGATCTGTAACCGTTAATCCCGTGCGAGCGAGAAAGTTGTCTATAGATTTATACGGGTTGACACCCCTATCTGTGGTTGCTAGCTACAACCCTTTGTCTGACGAGTCATAACGGGTGATGAACTATCCTCTTATTTTTGTTGTTTTCGACATCAATGAAGCATACAGAGTATTTGTTCTAGTGTGCCTCTTGTAGCACTAAAAAGAGGTCTGAACGTGATATAGCAACGGTTATAGTTTCATGTAGCTCCAAGTACACTCTAATACATGCATACTTGTTCGATATACAAGTATCTATGTTGTGTATAAGTATTACAAACACTTATACCCAAAGTGCACGAACTTTTTTCGATATAGAATTTATATTATAAGTAAACAATTATACCTAACACATACACTTATACAATAAAACTAATTATAAGTCTGGTGGGTAATTATACACTATATTTTATATTTTCCGGGTTAGAAAAAGTACTATTTTATATAACTATAAAACACTTATATATATATATATATATATATATATATATATATATATATATATATAGAGAGAGAGAGAGAGAGAGAGAGGTTCAAATGTTTCCAACAAATATTGTGTGCCTAAATGTACCAATGAGAATTCAAGAAATAATAAATAATTAAATAAATCATTAAAGGGTATTTTGGACATTTTCTACTTTTAATTAAGGAAATCATTTAATTAAAATCCTACAATTATGGAAATAAAGTAAATATATTTGACCTAGTTCTTCACCTTCGTTTCCTGCCATCATTTTCGTCTGCTGTCATCGATCTAAACCATTTCAATCAGCCTTCATCTTCCAGATTTTTGTTTCAGTTTGAACACCGATGGATGTTTGATTAGAGATAGCTTCAACACGAATCTTGAAGAAGAAGAAGGGGTTCGATTTGAAGACAGGGGATGATTTAGTATCAATTATCTGTTAATTACATTTTGTAGATCATCTTTCCCCTTCGTCTCCTCCGCCCTTTTCTCCCACAATGTCTCTTTCACCACCACCCAATTATCCAATCCTAATCCTAAATCCTACAAACAAAAACAGTCGAATAACCCTAACTGTATCCGCACTAGGAGCCGACACATTTGGCGAAACAAAACTGGCAGTCATCGGAGGCGGCTCGGTCGCAACAATCGCCACTGCAATTTCACTCGCAGACCCCGAGAAGTGCCGACAGTTGCAGGCGAAGGAGGTTGGCGATGGTGATAAGGAAGTCGTGAGGGAGTATTTCACTAATGACGGGTTTCAGAGGTGGAAGAAGATATACGGAGGCACCGATGATGTGAATAAGGTTCAATTACATATAAGAATTGGACACGCGAAGAGGTGGAAAATGTGATGAAAATGTTGACAGATGAAGGTTCGCTACAAGATTTCTCAATTCTCCTTCTGCGGCACCAAATTCAGCACCAAATCTTGAAAAGCAAAACACTTCTGAAACGATTTCTACTGATTACCAGAGTTTTGCTGTAAAATTTGTAACACAATTACAATCAATATCGAAGAAGGCCATCAGGTACACGTTTCATCGGGATCTTTTCATTGGGATCTTTCTTTCCAGGCTATTTGTTGAAGAAGTCCATCAGGTTCGCTTTTCCTCATTTACCCTTCGTTATCTCCTATTGCATCTAACTGTAAACGAAATATTGTATCTCTACTTGCTGTTTGTAGATCTTGTAACATATTGAAAGCATTTCTGAAAAAAATATACGTTAATTACTTGTTCTCTGTTGATTCATTGAATCTAAATTTCAACAAGTTTTAATTGTTTTAACCCAGTGTACGCGATCAATTTTTTTGTAGTTATCGATATTTTAGTCGGCGACGCGATGTTGTAGATATGTTACTGTAATGAGATATGTGTATGTATATTTGGTTCATATTGAATAATTCCATAGCATTTTGAGCTTGATAATTTGTTGAAGTACATGACAATATTTTCTTTTAGATCTTAATACGGTTGTAGATTTGATTAATGTTTTTGAGCTCTCGTATTATTACTTCTGTTATCTGAATTTGAAGCTGATTGATGCTTCTTTAAAGCTACAAGAAAAAAACTAACCCTGGTTTCTTTATCTCTTGTTTATAGTAAGCAATGGCGATTCCAAAGCTTGATAAGAAGATCGTCAAGAAAAGGGTCAAGAAGTTCAAGAGGCCACACAGTGATTGGAAAATCTATGTCAAGGTACACAATCTATCTCTATAATCTTCTCATTATCATTGAATCAACCTATTTATTTGCTCAAATCGTGTTTATAATTCTAACAGGAAAAATGGAGTAGACCAAAGGGTATTGATTCACGTGTGAGGAGAAAGTTCAAAGGTGTTACTCTTATGCCCAACATTGGATACGGATCAGACAAGAAAACCCGTCATTACTTGCCAAATGGTTTCAAGAAATTTGTTGTTCACAACGCCAAGGAGCTTGAAGTTCTTATGATGCACAACAAGTAAACATAATTTGTACAATTCTTCACTTTTAAGTTTACATTATATAACCTAGAATGGAATATTGAATTCTAATTTTGTCAGAATAGAATCTTGAATTCCTTGTCAACTTAAGCAGTGAATTACCGTAACCAATTCTGTCAGAATAGAATTGGTTTCCATTCTTGTTATTGGTCTCGATTCTTATAGAATAACATCCTAAATAATGAAACATTACATTCTTTCAGAATAATATACATTGCAAGTTTAGGGATGATTGTTAATGTTGGTTTGTAGAAATTATAGTTATATTCTATTGGAATGTATATCACATTCTATCAGAATTTATTGTTTTATTCTATTTAATGCACTAAAATTTTTAATATTTGAAGGTTGATTATGTTTTCTTTGTGAATTTAGGTTTTGAAGAGGTTGCCATTAATGTGGAAAATGAAGAAAACATGGAGAACAATATTGTATTCTAGCAGAATGTATTCTGTCAGAATTTATAAATTGTTATTCTTTCGGAATGTATTAGTGTTTTTGTTAGATTTTGCGGGTTTTTTTTTCTTTTTTAACCATTTTTTGTTTTAATCTTTAAGAATAAATGTAATCCTTAAACCATTATTAGTCATAATTTTTTTTAGAATGAATGTAATATTTGTTTATAGTTTTTTTTCTTTACGGATGAATGTAAATAGTGATTCGTAAAGAATAAAATTCGTATTCTTTAGAAAATGTTATTCTTAATAATATGTTGTATAATTATTTAAGCATGTTTAATATAAAAAGTATCTTGAATTAAACAATATTCTGCCAGAATAAAACCGCAAATTTATTTACTAGTTTATTGTTGATTTTTTGTTATTCTGACAGAATAAAGTCGGTTATTATTAAAAATAATATTAAAACTTAATTAGAATTAATTTAAAAAATTCAGATTTTTTTTAAAAATAAGGGAATTAATGATCCCTTAAAATCCGAAAATTTCCTTTTTTAAAGTAGGCTAACCGACCAAAATACCCTTTTGCTGAAATTTGTGTGATTATATGATACATGCTACCCTATTTTTATATCATAGACCCTCAGATCATGACTGTTGATTCTATTCATCCGGTGGTCCAGATCTGTGCATTCTGGCACACAATAGTTAGTAAAAACAAAATATCTTAAGTCTATATATATATATATATATATATATATATATATATATAGATATATATATATATATATATATATATATATATATATATATGGGTTAGGATCAAATGTTAACTACAATTATTATATGAATGTATGACCAATTATTGTCCATTGCATTAAAATAAATGAAAGGTTGAGATATGATGGTACATGTTACTAACATGTGGTAACATTTACTATATAATTGCATTTAATCAATTGTAAGGGAAAATTGTAAGAATGGTTAACAAGTATATATGGAAGGTGAATTTTCTTGGGATATCAATTTAAATTTTATTTTTATTTGCATATTGTAATCGTTTTTTATACAGTACTAAAAAACATGAAACATATTTCATTCGATAAGAATTAGATTTTCTTTTTTCACCACCTATAATATTTGATTTATTTTCTTGATCATGGGAACAATTAAGAATAAACTGTTGTGACTTATTTTATGTCATTTTTATTCTTAAGACTTACAATCTCTTAACAATTCTCAGGATTGATACAACATTAAGAATCAATTTTTTTAAAGTAAAACTTTTTATATATTTTAAAAATCGTTTCGAATTGATTTCCTAATTAAAACTTCATGCTTGATGATAAAAATGATTATAAATGACATTCTCCTTAGACATTCTTGTAGAATAAGACATTAATTAGATGTCATAACTAACATTCTAAAAGAATAGTTTAACATTTTTGAAAAAATGAATTTGAAATCATATCACGCTTCTTCAAGAATAAATGTACAAAAATCAAATAATTATGCTTCAAGAATGAATTTGGAATCATAACAATTTCACATTTTCATTCTCCAAATTACTATTATAGAAAGGTCATCAACACCATTATGTTAGTTTCAAAAAACCAAATCTGTTAAATAAAATAAAAAACAAACAAAATTACTATCTTCCAAAACACAATTTCGTTTCCTCTTGAACTTTCATTTGCTGTTCTTGTTTAAACATTTCTTCCAATGGTAATTCTGGTAAAGGTTCTACTTGTAAATCTATTAGTAGTTGTTGTGGTTCTTCTTTTGTTACATCTGCAACTACAAATCTATAACAAAGTAGTTAAGAATCGACTTTTATATATCTTATTGTATAATCAATTTCATAAATATGTATTCTACAATTGATATTATACACAAATAAGCATTCTTTACGCATGGAACCAATTTTCATAATCCACTGTTATATTATACAAAAGTAAGCATTCTTTAAGCATGTCCTTTTTTTATTATATGAATATAGATTATTACGAAACCGTGATAGTATATATAGCATTATTTAAGAATGCACTTTTATAATAAAGCAATCTTATATTTTCATTCTTAAAGAATATGACGGTTTAAGAATGCAGTTCAAAATCAATTTCATGATCAACCACAAAAGTATACAACAGTTTAAGAAAACCACATAAGTATACAACAGTTTGAGAAAACAGTTATTAATCCTCAGTGAACCCTTTCTCTTCTAAATATTAATATAAAACAAACACCTAGGAATGATCATCTTCTCTGAGTTAAATCAAATAACTATCGGCCATTGAATAATGTAACTTCTTTTCCACCTCATTGTATTAACAAGAAAATCAAAGATTCTTGAAATTTTATCTGGTGAAGCCATCACACACCTTAGATATTTCAAAAAATCCACAAAAATCTCATCTTTAGATCAACAGGGGAAATGCTTAAAACAAACACCTCCATGGGCTCCAAGATTTGCTTTTGTAAGAATCAAAACTTTTTTAAAACAAGTCAAGTGAGACACAGTAGAAGATTTTGATTTTAGGGCTTTTTGATGGAACAATATAGTAAAAAAAACTTAGGGTTTAATCAATTGGATTATGGATCCATCATAGATGAAGATGAGATAAAGAAAGAATATGAACAAAATTTTATGTAAAAAACATACCTGGAGGAAGGCGAAAGGAACAGAAGGTGCTAATGGCGAACCTGTATGGTGGTGAAGATTGCATTTTGGAAGTTATCTATTACGAAATAGGCGGATCTCCATCCATCAGGGTTGGAGACGAAGAGGTATGAAAAAGCAACGATTGTGGTAAGCACGAAGAGGGGATGGAGAGACTGCAATGAGTGTTGTGTGTATGTGATGCATACAGTGAGAAAGTGAGGTGAACCACTCGTGTAGGTGGCGATCTTGTTTTTTCTCCTCTTCTAATATGCGTGAATCCCATTTACCCGAAAAGAACCTCCCAAAATTAGGTTTATCTTATATGTAGTTGTTTTGAAATCAGATCCCTTGTTAATGTCAATTACCAAAAATACACGATCACTATTTAAATCTAATTAATATATTTATATGTCAAATTACAAATGTATCCTTATTAAATGAATGGATGAAAATAAGTCATACATTCACACAATAATTATTGAATATACATGAACCTAACTCTCTCTCTCTCTCTATATATATATATATATATATATATATATATACACACACACACTTTTGGTAATAATAAATGATCTTTTATATAGGTTAGTGAAGCAACTATATACTATATAAACATACTTTTGCTATAACAGTACATAGAGTCAAAACCTGTATTTCTCACCAACTTTATGTTGATGATTTTCAAAAAGCATGTATTCTTGGGAGTATAAGAAGTTTGAATCACACACAAACAAGATTATTTGTGAGGATCTTTTTTATCAATCACGGTCCTATATTTTTGTATCCGATGCCTATCTGTTAAGGCGTGTATTGTATTTTGGTTATTATGTAACGATGTACTTGAAAAACGAAACAATGTAATTCCTATTCGATATTTATACAAGTATGTATTTGGGTTATTCACATTATTTACCCCTATGAATCCTCCTATAAAAATGGGCTTGTTCCCTCGATGATTATTGATGTTATAATCCCATTCATAAAATATGAACTTGTCTCCTTTCCAGTATTGACTTTTTTTCTAACAGCTCCAACAGTCTAAACATAAAAATTGCACCCTTTCCAGAGCTCTTGATCTTGGGTAATGTTGTTGCAAGGCTCTCCATATTGTATATTGGTTTCTTGTTCTTTTCTCAACATGGTACATTTAATGGTATCATGCCTTATGGAGTCATGGAACTCGCAGTATCGACCAAGTTCTTTGTCGTTTGATCGGTCTCCTAACTTTCCTTCGCCATTCTTTTTTCCGTTCATTACTCTTGCCATTTCATTTCTGCCTCCATTTCTTAGTGGTTGGTAATTCCGTTCCTGCCATTGCGTTTTCTTATTATCATATACTCCCTCCGTCCCATATTAATAGTCTATGTTTCCTTTTTGGTTTGTCCCAAAATAATAGTTACTTCTTAAACTAAATATCACTTTTTACCAAAATACCCTTTATTATTAGTTAAATTACCATATAGTTAAATGCAACTACCATGAAAATAAATGCAACAAAAGGGTACAATTGTCATTTCATTTAATAAAGTTAGTGGTAATTAATGTTTCCTTAATCAGTATGTTTTTTGTCTGTGGACAATAATTTTGGGACGGAGGGAGTATTTGCTTTCCTTGGTTGGTAACCTCTAGATAAGGTGTACGACCGTCTTTTACGTTGCTGATGTATAACCTATATCCTTGGTCACTTTTGATTTTATCTGATGTTGGTTCTTCTTGCTTCATGAATTGGTTAACTCTTTCAATAGTATCCTTTATTGACTTTGGCGTTTTCCCGAACAGCTTCTTAAACAATACCCCTGTGCGAAACCCATAGGTAAAGGTGGCTATGACCATGTTGTCAGCTTTTTCCAATGCGTTTAGTGTTGGTTTGTTGAATCAAATAACAAAGGCTTGTAATGACTCATTCTGCAGTTGCATGTATCATAAGATGGCTTGGGCATTCGTTGTTTCACATTTTTTGTTGCATAAATGCCCCATAAATTCTTCATGCACATTATTAAAATCATGTATAATTTCCAACGGAAAGGTCTTATACCAAAGCCACGGTGGTCCCTGCTATTGGGGTTTTTAGGTTACAAAATCCTTGTACATGCGGAATTTCAGAAAACACTTATGGGTACATACAACCTAAAAAAATCATATGTCTTTTTACTATTATATCAACATAATTTATGAAACAGAATTAAACCCTATTGAAATCGAAAATCATAGACTAGAAAACATACCTTTTCTTACAGGATGGCTCACATCGTGATTTGT